AGCTAAGGGCAGGCACTTAATGACTGAGCCACCCAGGCACCCCAAGTGTATTTCTTTTAATGTATGACATTGTCCACGGAAGACATGGTTTTAATGAAAAAATTTTAATTAGAAATCTGTTATACAACTGTAAGAAATAACGTTAGATTCATCTTATAGTGTTGATGCTGCATATCAACTTTTAGTATTTTAAAATAATACTAAAAATATTGTATTCTGTTAAATAGACAAATTAGGAGCTTCATGCTATTTTGATGATTAGTTACATGATCTTCATCCTTAGGCTGAATTAAACATCACATAATTGTCTTTTAAATCCTTACTCATTAAAAAGAAAAAACTGACTAAATGTAGATATTCTGGAGGGGGAAAAAAGGATAATTCTGTTCGACCTAACAGTTCCTATTGAAACAATAATAGTTTACCAAATAATATTTGTATACCACGGAAGAGAACATACTGAAGTAAGAGAATGTATAAAAAAAGAGAACACATGCTTTTTCAAGATGTCAGATTTTAGTAGATTTGAAACTTCTTTCTTTTTATATGTAGATTTCTTTATTTCAAATCAAGAGATCTAATTAAAGAATCACTTGTCAACAGGCATTCTGTGCATCTTACCACATGCAAATTTATAGACTAATATTGTTGAGCATATTCAGCTTCCAGAAATGTAGTTTGGGTTTTGTTAATGGAGATACAGACTAAATATATTTAGGTGTGTCATAGAATATATTGCAGAGTAGGCTTAGAATCTGTTTTAAAAGACTATACCAATAGCAAATGTGGTTGCATCATCACTCACAGTAGGCTTGGGTAATGAAATTGACCATAGTTCTGGAGTCTGCATAGAGGCTTATTTTTTTCAGTTTTGAATACTTGCTTTATCAACATTAGGAGATGATCCCTTCCATATTCAAGTGTTTATACTGCATAAGTAAGAAACTTTGTTAGCAAATCAGTCAAGGGCTCTGAAAAAAATTCATTTTTCTTTGCTTTCTGCAGAGGATAAAAAACAAGTTCCATGTAGACGAAGGAAGTCTGTATCTCTCACTTTAGCTTATTTGCTTGTTGCCCTTTTGTCATTTTCTTAGAATTACCTTCATGAGTGAATTATAGCTATGGAAATAGCCCTTATGTCTGTCATTAAATATTCTTAGAAATCTTGTTATTGGTGAGTTATTGATAGCACATCCCACAGGAACTATACAGGTGGCTGGATACCTGACCAAAGCCATATTGGTATTTAATAAACCATAACTATGACTGAAACTGTCATAATATATTATGCAATTATAACCTTTTGTAATGATTTAAACTTTAGGGCAGTAAACTTTTAGAGCTAAAAGAAAACCACAGGGATCACTAGCCAGGCCTTTCATTTTCAGTATGAAGAAACCTATCCAAAGCAGCCAGGCTAACCAGCAATCTATGATTTCAGCTAATTAACTGCAGAGCCAAGACCAGAACTTCTCTTTTCTGATTCCCAGTGGAACATGTTCTCTTCTCAGAATACTTTCCTTAGAGAAATTCTGCTTAAAAAACATGAAAATATGGACATGTTAAGTATACCAAAAATTCTAAAGGCCTATTAGAGAAACATAAAAGTATAAATTATCATAAATTTGACCTAAGATCAATATATTAGCAAATTGAATATGATTTAATTCCTTGCTTTTGTCATTGATCTATTCATTTATTTTGCATTCTGACAATGGCTCAGTTAAGCTTCTGCCTTTAGCTCAGGTCATGATCCCAGGGTCCTGGGATTGAGCCCCATGTCGGGCTCCCTGCTCAGCAGGGAGTCTGCTTCTCCCTTTCCTTCTGCCCCTCCTCCCCGCTTGTGCTCTCTTCCTCAAATAAATAGATAAAATCTTAAAAAAAAAAAAAAAAAAAAGACTGATTTAGATGGCTTAGGCCATTTTTCTTTAAGCTATGAGGGAAATTTTGATGTGTTGCCTTTTATTCACTTACGCTAGCATAAGTTTTCCAGTGCATACCCTCATTACATAGATTAGAATGTTTAAAAATAGCTATTGTGATATCTAAGTAATTGAAGTCTGGAAGAATCTTAGTTGCAGGGAATTAGAGCTTTGCTAATCAGTGTCTTCCACAAATCAACAGCATCAGAATCACTGTAGAATTTGTTAGAAAGGCAGAATCTCAGCTTCCCGTTTCTGAGACCTAGACCTACTGAATTGGAGTCTGTGTGCGAACAAGATCCTGGATAATTCAGATACGCCTTAGGATTTGAGAAGCACCAATGTAGAGTTAGTAATCTCAGAACCTGTTTCTACTTGATGTCATTTTCTTGTCTCTTTCTTCCTCACCTTTCTTTTTGTGTCCTGCCACCCGACCCCTCCAAAAGAAACATAAAAATATCAGTGTGTGCTTTAATAAGCAAAAAGAAGTTCAGGTCAAAAGTGTGTAGAATGGAGGCACCTGGGTGGCTCAGTTGGTTAAGCGTCTGCCTTCAGCTCAGGTCATGATCCCAGGGTCCTGGGATCGAGCCCCCCATCGGGCTCCCTGCTCCACGGGAAGCCTGCTTCTCCCTCTTCCACTCCCCCTGCTTGTGTTCCCTCTCTCGCTGTGTTGTGTTCCTCTTCTCTTTCTCTGTCAATTAAATAAATAAATAAAATCTTTTTTTTAAAAAAAAGCGTGTAGAAGGGAGAAAGGATGTACATCTACTCATCTGAGACAGCATGGAGGACTAATTGATTATACTTCTATGCCTTTGGAATATTTTTAGCATCTAGCAGATCAGTATTTCCCCCCTCTTCGGTGTCCCCCCAGAGCCATCATTCACATTGGGCTGTGCTCCCCAAACTGAGGCTTTGTAACTACACTGAGAAGTGAAATATAGGAGTTAATTACACAGTGTTGACTTTACAGAGGGTGAACCACAAAGCATCAAAAGCAGGGACTGCCTGTTCCAGTTAAGGACAGAGAACAGCAAAGGATATATTATTGGTTATGTAATCTGGGAACCACTGTGAATAACAGGCATTGTGAGGCAGATGAGAAAAATGGTTGTGATTAAAAGCAAAGTAAAACACCAAATCCAAGCCTCCATCTGCAAAGATGATTCTAGTGAGATTTTCTTCTAGTGAGTGATGGATTGAATGTCTAGTGTAGTGATTAAGAGCTTAGACTCTGAGCTAAAACTTTCTTGGTTCAAATTCCAGCTCATCTACTTCTTGGCTCTGTCACTGTGGGCAAGTTACTTAACCTCTAACCTCTTCAACTGAAAATTGAGAAAACAATAGTACCTACCTCATGGGTTATTGTAAATAGCAAACAAAAAAATATATGTACAAAATACTTGACACAGTGTCTGAAACATAGTAAGTAGTCAGTAAGCGTTAGGGTGTATTTATTTGTTCATTTGCTTATTTACTCATTTATTAAGGTTTTTCTCATCAGTTTCCCTTGTGAACAATAGCATTATTTTATGTGTCTCTTCTGGGATTTGGCTGTGGTTTGTGGCCATGACAGACAGCAACAGCTCATTTTAAGGAAATTCTCTGGGCTGAAGAGTGAGCGTCTATTGATCACCTCTGGGATAATGAGTGCTAGGCTGGGTCTGATGGTGGTTATGATAGTGGCAGAGAGTATAATGAAAGAAAAAGAGATATCATACAATCCCTTGAGGTACTTAGATTCTGAGTGGAAAGAGATGAAATACCCACGTACATGGGAAAAAAACCCAACAGGTGATTTAAAAAAAATGTTTCTATGTTCAAAATTGCATGGTATATCCAAGGATGTTTGGGGTGATTGAAAGGCAGCCATAAGCCTTGGTCATTAACACCTGTCATTTTCTTCAGGTATTTGTACAAAGGAGGAGAAAAGGGAACTATTGTATCTATTAGGTAAAACTGTAGTGTGACAAGCATAGACGTTTAAACAGACTTTTGAATCTTGATTTAGAAGCTGACTAACCATGGGAGGGCAGACTGTGAGAAACTGCTAAAATTGCTGCCGGCCTCGACCTCATTGTGGTTATATGAACACAGGGGGCAGGCAAGAGGGGTGAAGTTCCAGAGGGTGCTTATCAGATAGTGTTCTATAAGTTCACCATTCCACTTTAGGTTGACTACTTTGTAATGCTTTCAAAGGAATTCAGGCTTTGGAGGAAATAGAAAAGTAGAGGAACTTTGTAAGCGCTCAATAAAGGGGCCATAAATTAGGTGTTGAGATGAAACATAGAGCTTGAAGGACTCTCCATCTTGAGGAACTCAGGAAGAAAGGTGTCTTAGAAATAGTTGTGTGGGGACGCCTGAGTGACTCGGTCAGTTAAGTGTCTGCCTTCAGCTCAGGTCATGATCTCAGGGTCCTGGGATCGAGCCCCACGTAGGGCTCCCTGCTCAGTGGGGAACCTGCTTCTTCCACCCTTCCCCCCGCTTATGCTCTCTCTCTGAAATAAGTAAAATCTTTTTTAAAAATATATCTTAAAAAAGAAAGAGTTGTGTAGAAACCAGTGTTGTTCCTTGTTCTCTGTCTCCTGTGGTTCCTGCTGCTGTCTGCCTGATCTGAGCAGTTTTAGAAAGTCGCCTCTGTCTGCAGGTCTGGAGGGAGTGGACGAGGAGGGAAGAGGTTTGGGCTGGGGAGAGCAGGGAATGGTAGAGGTGGTAGCAGGAAGGCAGTCAGTGGCATTGTACTAATATTTTGGGTAAATAAAAAGACACTGAAGGAGAGTGAGGGCCAGGATAGTAAGGGGAGAGGTAGAGATGGTTTTTAAAGGTCACTTTGAAACAGTCTATCATGGACATCTTTAAAATGGCGGGGGGGGGAACACTATTCAGGAGTAAACACCCAGGGGCATCCTGTAATTCCAGAAACAAGTGAAAATCAGCATCTCTCAGGGGATGGGTTAAACATTGTGCAAGGGTCACTCAGAGTCTAGCTAATACTTTCAGTCTGGAATCCCCTTCAGGTGTTTGGTTCACAGTCTCTGACGCTCTGTCTAATCTGACTTTCTTTGTGCTTCTTTTCCACAGCACGCATGTATCCCAAGTCAGCAATGTTTCGACAACTGGAGAGTAAGTTATTTGGGTTCCCTTTCCCATTTATCGAACAGAAAAAAAGCTACTCTAATGGTGTGTAGTATTGGAAGATTAATACAGTAAGCAACTTATGATGATTTTTAAAACCACTGAGGGAAGAGGACTAAATAAGAAGTGTTCCTGTTTGAGCTTCTGTGTGGGCGTGTGACTAGAGACAGCTCAACCATTTGAACATGCGAGATTTTTGTTTCAGTCAAAATAATGTCAGAGTCTATTAGTGTTTGCAAAATACGTGTTTGAGGAGGTACCTTAGAGTGGAAGACGCTATTAAAGGTTAAAGTAGTAACAGTGTCTTTACTTCTTCCTTCCTTATTTTTAATCAGCCTACATGTATTGAGTACCTGCGATATGCCAAGCATAGTGTTAGGTGTGTAGTGTCAACTAAGCCTCGGGCTTTGCCTTCAGGGACTTTACAGTCTAAGAGGGACACAGAATCAAAAGCAAATTAGTGATGGCAACAAGTCCTTTATCCACAGGGCAGGACAGTGCTCTACTGATGATGCCCATCATGTATCTCTTTCCTCCTAAGGCTACCAACTGGACTAAAATCCAAGCTCCAGTTACCTACCCTTCCCTCCCTCTCTGACCACATTGCTCATCATGCTTCAAGCACGTGACATTCTGTTTCTGGAATAGGCCAAGCTTATATTTGCCCCAGAGCCCTTACACTGGCTGTTTTTCAGCCTGGCCATTCATTTTCTTATCATTCACTTTTTTGTTCAAATGTCCTCTTCCTCCGAGAAGCCATCCCCAACTATCTGCAGTCTTTCTCCTATCCTGTACAACATTTTGGAGAGAATTTATCACTTTCTGAAATGTCAGGATTTGTTTATTACCTCTCTTGCCTCATAGGAATGTAAGTTCCATAAACGTGGGGACCTTGTTTGTCATATTCATGGCTATATCCCTAACACCTAGAAAAGTGCCTTGTGTATATTAGGCACTAAATAAATATTTGTGAATAGTTTCTTGCTCAAAGATTTTCCTTCACAACACACCTCTCTTCCTTCCTTGCTAAGATGTAAATGGGCCTTTTTAGTGCATCTTCCATCAACAGGGATCAGGAGGAAGAGGAGGAAAGATGTGATAAGGAGGAAGAGAGAATAATTTAAAGAAGCACTGAATAGGATGAATTTGGATCCAATAGGATGAATTGGGATTTTTTTTTCCTTCTTTGTTAGGTGTGGAAGCAATGAGAGGGCAGGACTGACCTCTCTTAGCTTTGTGAATTTTGATGAGTTTGGATGTGATTCTTTTTTCAAGTGCAGGAAAACATGGTTTGAGGAGTATATGTTTAGAATTTTCCATGCCAGCTTATTCAGAATTAAATAATGTGGTGATAAAAGAAGGCTTAGACACATTAAAAGATTATATAGCTTTAATAAGGATACCTTCTCTATCTCACCATGCACTCTTCAGCCCCTGTGCTTCTAGTATTTCCTCATGTTAAATGAAGTAAATCTATCCTGCCATCTTCAGTAACACATATTGGGATGTTTGCATGATAACAGCTTCAATTATATACATCACAATTTAATTGCATAGAGGTTCAGAAAGATTTTGCTGTTCTAAATAGTGATTGTTCTGGGGAGGTGTTCCTTTTTAATAGCATTATTCCCTGTATAATTTTATCTTAAGGAGATTCTATATAGATAATAGGTATCATAAAATCATTTGTGCCCATTTGCTTTGTAAACCATACTGTCTGCCCCTGCAGAGCTGGTATGAAATCCGAAGGAACTCACCTTTGTAAGAATAGGTCTATTATTATTCTATGAGGAAAAAATATTTCCTCATTCTGCTTTATATTAAATGACCCTTATTTCCTGAATGCCTCTGATAATTGTTGCCAGGCTTGCTGTGAGCATTTCAGTCATCCTGGACCTACAAAGATGAAAAACCCAGTGATCAAAGTGGTAGCATTTGTCAGGTTTGGTTTTATTTTTAACACACGATGCAGATATTTTGAGATGTCTCATATGCGGTCTTTGCTCATGAAGCTGTGGGAGATCTACCATTGAACAAATGCTAATATTTCCCAAATTATGGATATAAATTTTTAAAGGCAATCACTGATAAATTTGATTGCCTGATGGACTCTGTGTTCTGCTTTTATTAGACTCTTAGAAAGAACCATCCGGTCGGCAGTAGAACAGCACCTTTTTGATGTAAATGGCTCTGGAGGCCAAAGTTCAGAGGACTCGGAATCTGGAACATCATCAGCATCTTCGGCCACGTCTGCCAGACAGCGCCGCCGTCAGTCCAAAGAGCAGGATGAAGTTCGACATGGCAGAGATGTGTGAGTTGGCATTAGAGCATCTTATTTGCATTTTCTCCTCTCCTTTTAAAAATATACACCTGAATTAGTCACTATGTTATAACCATTCCCATTTCAGTATTCAGGTTAAAACTTCAAAAATTCTTTTTTGACTATTCTAAACTTAACATTTGGAAATTTGTAGGTGACTAAGTGAACATTTCAGTTTTGTCTGGATGTTTTGTGTTGTCTAGATGTATGTTTGTAGGAAGCCACCTCTGATTTAATACACTTTAGGGCTTCCTCATGAATATCTTCTTTAGAGGGATGCTGGACCACTGGAGGAGAAAATTGCCGTATGCCTGTCCAGAGGTGGGGTTTTTTTTTTTTTTAAGATTTATTTATTTATTTGAGAGAGGGAGAGTGTGTGCGTGTGTGTTTTGCGGGTGGGGGCGGGGAGTAGAGAGAAGGAGAATCCCAAGCAGACTCCATGCTGAGCAGAGATCCTGACCTAAGCAGAAACCAAGAGTCAGGCGCCCAACCGGCTGTACCACCCAGGCACCACAGGGGTGGTTTTTTTCTTATTAGACAACATTCATTTGGTTGTTAGACTAACTTATAAAATCAACAGATTTCCCTACTGTACTGGCCTGATGCAATACTAGAATATCACCGTAATACTTTAACAGTTGACTACATTTTAGTATCAGAAAGGTTGAGCTTAGTCATCATCAAGACAGTATGGTCCTGGCACCAAAACAGACACATAGAACAATGGAACAGAATAGAGAGCCCAGAAATGGACCCTCAACTCTATGGTCAGCTAATCTTCGACAAAGCAGGAAAGAATGTCCAATGGAAAAAAGACAGTCTCTTCAACAAATGGTGTTGGGAAAATTGGACAGCCACGTGCGGAAGAATGAAACTGGACCATTTCCTTACACCACACACAAAAATAGACTCCAAATGGTTGAAAGACCTAAATGTGAGACAGGAGTCCATCAAAATCCTAAAGGAGAACACAGGCAGCAACCTCTTCGACCTCAGCCCCAGCAACTTCTTCCTAGAAACATCGCCAAAGGCAAGGGAAGCAAGGGCAAAAATGAACTATTGGGATTTCATCAAGATAAAAAGCTTTTGCACAGCAAAAGAAACAGTCCACAAAACCAAAAGACAACCGACAGAATGGGAGAAGATATTTGCAAATGACATATCAGATAAAGGGCTAGTATCCAAAATCTATAAAGAACTTATCAAACTCAACACCCAAAGAACAAATAATCCAATCAAGAAATGGGCAGAAGACATGAACAGACATTTTTCCAAAGAAGACATCCAAATGGCCAACAGACACATGGAAAAGTGCTCAACATCGCTCGGCATCAGGAAAATCCAAATCAAAACCTCAATGAGATACCACCTCACACCAGTCAGAATGGCTAAAATTAACAAGTCAGGAAACGACAGATGTTGGCGAGGATGTGGAGAAAGGGGAACCCTCCTACACCGTTGGTGGGAATGCAAGCTGGTGCAGCCACTCTGGAAAACAGTATGGAGGTTCCTCAAACAGTTGAAAATAGAGCTACCATACGCTCCAGCAATTGTACTACTGGGTATTTACCCCAAAGATACAAATGTAGGGATCCGAAGGGGTACATGCACCCCAATGTTTATAGCAGCAATGTCCACAATAGCCAAACTGTGGAAAGAGCCAAGATGTCCGACAGATGAATGGATAAAGAAGATGTGGTATATATACACAATGGAATATTATGCAGCCATCAAAAGGAATGAGATCTTGCCATTTGCAGCAACGTGGATGGAACTGGAGGGTGTTATGCTGCATGAAATAAGTCAATCAGAGAAAGACATGTATCATATGACCTCACTGATATGAGGAATTCTTAATCTCAGGAAACAAACTGAGGGTTGCTGGAGTGGTGGGGGTGTAGGAGGGATGGGGTGGCTGGGTGATAGACATTGGGGAGGGTATGTGCTATGGTGAGTGCTGTGAATTGTGCAAGACTGTTGAATCACAGATCTGTACCTCTGAAACAAATAATGCAATATATGTTAAGGAAAAAGAAAAGAAGATAGCAGGAGGGGAAGAATGAAGGGGAGTAAATCGGAGGGGGAGACGAACCATGAGAGACGATGGACTCTGAAAAACAAACTGAGGGTCCTAGAGGGGAGGGGGGGTTAATCTGGTGATGGGTATTAAAGAGGGCACGTTCTGCGTGGAGCACCGGGTGTTATGCACAAACGACGAATCATGGAACACTACATCAAAAACTAATGATTTAATGTATGGTGATTAACATAACAATAAAAAAATAAATTAAAAAAAAGAAAGGTTGAGCTTAAGTCTAATCGAAGAGGAAATGCTTAAGTTCTTTATTATAATGACTAGTTTTAGGCTTTCCCACAGCATGAATTTCAAGAATAGTACCATAAGAAACTTTATTCTTCATTAGAGGACTTGATAAAATACAAATAAACAATTATCATCTATATTTTTCAATAATCATCATTTAAATTCCAAGGAAAATAAAGTTATATTCATTTATTTTTCCTGAAAGTTTTAAGTTTATTTGTATCTACTATAGCATTTAGTCTCTATAAAGTTATTGTTTTGATCTCCTTATTAAATGTCAAAGACTAAATTAGACCCTAGTTCCCCTCATTCCTTTTCACCTGGATTCATAATGCAACATCAAAATCTTAGCGGCGGCGGGGGGTGGGAAAGGAAACTTCTTTTTGCTTAAAGAAAGACACAAAAGATAAGTGGTATAAATAAATACCATGCTGCATTATCATGAAGATGTTTAAGGGCCATACTAGCAAATGTAATTTTAGAAATAAACAGTATCAGTGGTATAGACCACTGACTTTTTAAAGTGGTCCTTTTATAGGAGCACTTTAAAAAAAAAATTCATCTTGTGGCTGGTGGGTAGGAGGGAGTGCTATATTATTACCTTTACAAAATAGAAAAATTATAATACAGCAGGTATTTACATTTAAAATTATCTACTGACTAAGCTTTATAGAAAACGTTTAGGAGTAAAATTAGCTTGTGTACTGCCTATATTGTGTTACACAGCAAGTACAAATTATTTAATACTGTTCTTATCCTCCGTCTCATTTTTTGCCAAATAGTATGTAGCAACACATTGCATTTTTAAAATATCCTTAGTGTGTCGTGACATCATGCTTTCCACCCTCTTTGTTTGGACAGAGGGATAACAAGCAGAGGTTGGAAGTGGTAGTAAGCACAAGAGAGAGAACAGAGCAGACGGTGGTAGTGTTGATGGTGGGTGCGTGGCGGCAGGGCAGGGGACAGCACAGTGGGGTAAGGTCCAAATGAACAGGCGGTAGAAAAATATGAAACATAGAGTAAACTTTCCTGCAGAATTTAGAGTTTCCCACATCCAGGCATGTTTCTAAGTTCTCTTGATCATATTTTACTGTCAATATCAGGAGAACAAAAGGAGATGAATAATGGTAGAAACCGACTAATCTAACAACCTGTGAAACTCTAGCCTTCCCCTTATTTTTTCTTCTCTGGTATTTCCTTCACTGCTCATGCTGGTCACTCATTGTGGTCAGACTAGAGTTGGACACTGAGCGAGTAAATCTCGGGCTGAAAACTGTGTGTGTCCACGGTAACTTAAAGTGTCACGTTACTCTTTTTCCTTGGTGCATGGTCTGGGCATACAGAAGTCCCCTTCCTATGCTCCCTGTTGGCCTCAGCCTCCTAGGCCTCTGGCGTCTTCCTAACCTGACACGCTGTCTTGATAGTCCTTTCTCTTGAACTCCCAGTCCACACTGCACTGCCTCTCTGAGCTCGCCAGGTCTGGGGAGGAGCAAGGCCCTTATCTCTCAGGGTCCCAGACCTACTACTTTTGTCCCCATGAAGGTCCTCTCCAGTATGTCCCCAGGAGATATACCGACGTATCACTGATTGGGCAAAGGTTGAGAATCATTATCATAGCCTATAGTAAGTATGTTTTTCTTAGTATATACTTATGCATAATTGATTCATTTATCAAAGATTTTCATCAGACTTTGCTTAAAAAATAAAGATTAAGCTAGATTTTATTCTATTCAAAACTATTAACCTTATGGAATAGTTTAAAAGAGTTTTTAAAAATTAGAAATTCATTGTATTTTTGTCTATTATTTTGCCTCCTAACAACTTAAAGCTGCAACCAAGTGAAAAAACATATCCTTGAAGCCAATAATAACCATACTTCAGGGTGAGATTAGAGTCATTAAGTCTGTACTAAAGTCATCATGGCAGATTTTTTGAAATAAATACAGAAGATAGACTAAGACTTACAAATATTTCATTTTAGTGCAAATGATTTCTTATTTTGTCTAAATTTATAAGGAAACATTATCAGGCTTATATTATTATTGCTACTATAAAAATATCAAAGTTTAAGCAATACATTCAATATGTGAAGGGGTTCAGGTTAATTCATTTATTTAAAAAAACTTGCCATCTGCCAGGTGCATGGAAATGAGGACCCTTGGTGATGGGTATATGGAAATTTGTTGTGATAGTGTCTCTTCTGTATGTGTGAAAATTTGATAATAAATGTTTTCTTAAAAGCAAAGGGTAATTTAGGTGAAAGTGGTTTCAGCTGTCCAAAACACAATAAACTGGAATTTGTACATATTTATTATAGAAATACTATATTAAATTCCTACTGCAAAGTAAGAAAAAAAAAGAAAAGACGAACAAAAAAACCCAGTGCTGTATTAGGGGAATGATAAATAGTTGAGTATTGCCAGAACATTAAGTCTGTCTGTAGGGGTGGTGAGGAAGAACTTCAGATAAAGTGAGAGGCCCCAGAAATCTGAATTCATGTCAGATTTCAGTGATGTCAAGTATGATTGAAACCTGTCAGAATGTTGCAGGCAGGAATTATATACCAGCGCTCCTCACAGTCACATATGTACCATGGCTGAAAGGTGTTGACTCGCACAAAAGCAGAGACTTTTTCTTTTATGTAAGAGAACAGGATTTCCACATGAGCATGCTGAACAGATTTCCATGTATTTGTTTTGACAGCTTTTATTCCAGTCATTCATTCACTATTCAAAAAGATTATAAAATAAACTTTGTGTTTTAATTTCTAAAACTGGTTTTTAGCTTTTGTATTAGTCTACTAGGGCTGCCATAACAAAATACTACAGTCTGGGTGGCTTAAACAACAGGGATTTATTTCCTCATAGTTCTGGAGGCTGGAAGTCCAAGATCAAGGTACAGACAGGGTGGGCTTCTGATGAGACCTCTCTCTTGCACTTGCAGATGGGTCCTTCTCACCGTGTCCTCCCATGGCCTTTCCTCCGTGTGTGTGCTCTCCTGGTGTCTCCTCCTTTTCTTTTCTTTTTTTCTTTTAAGATTTTATCTACTTCTCAGCGAGCGAACACAAGCAGGAGGGAGTGGGAGAAGGAGAAGCAGGCTCCCTGCTGAACAGGGAGGCCGATGTGGGACTCGATCCCAGGACCCTGGGATCATGACCTGAGCCGAAGGCAGCCAACCAACTGAGCTACGAAGGCATCCCTCCTCCTCTTATTAGAACACCAGTTCTGTTGGATTACAGCACCCACCCTTATGGCCTCATCGAGCCTTAATTACCTCTGAAAAGGCCCTGTCTCCAGAAACAGTCATATTAACAGATGGTGAGGGCTTCAGCAGAGGAATTTGGGGGGAAACACAATTCTGTCATAACAGCTTTCAAACATAAAAACCTCCCAATAAAAAATTATAATAGGATGTATACCCCAGGAGTTAGGAGAAGTATAAAGAGTGATAGACAGAATTTATATAGTAAAATAATTAATTTTGAAGTTGAGACCAAACTCATCCAGCTGTTCGTGGAAGGCAACACTCTCAGTGCGTGGAGGGGAGATTGAAGAGTGTCTGCATAATTACATGTGCCAGCATGTTAGTCCCTGTCCACTCTTCCTCTGCCTTCTGTGATTTTATACTGAGGGTATTCTAATATTTGTTGCATAAATCTTTTCTATAATTTTACTAAGTATATATTTTTACATTAAAAGTTATATAAAGGGGCACCTGGGTGGCTCAGACGTTAGGCATCTGCCTCCGGCTCAGGTCGTGATCCCAGTGTGCTGGGATCGAGCCCCACTTTGGGCTCCCTGCTCGGCTGAAAGCCTGCTTCTCCCTCTCCCACTCTCCCTGCTTGTGTTCCCTCTCTTGCTGTGTCTCTCTCTGTCAGATGAATAAAATCTAAAAAAAAAAAAAAAAGTTATATAAAATAAGACTAAGTTAAATATGGAGTGCTAAAAATCACCAAAGATAGTGTAACTTTGAAAATATTAGGATAATATTTAATTCATAATTTTGCCTCCATGATAAGCCCATCTAAGATAAGATGTGAATTTAGATGGCAGAATAAATATTTAACATTATCTTTCATTTTTGTATGTGGTTGAACTGACGGTAAAATATAGTCATCTGTTTTGCTCTTTAGAGCTCATTTATTTCAAAATATAACTGTAAGTGTTTAGGGAGTTACCTTAACTCAGTCATACCGTAAGGGAGAGATCTCATTCATTTGTACCTTGGCACACCATGATGCTACCCTGATGGCTTAAGTTGTCCTGTGATGTAGTAAAAAAACAAATAGTTTGCTAAATAATTTAATTTTATGAAAACTCCTTAAGGGAATGTTTAGAATACTCAGAACAATTTCAAGAATATTAAGTGAATTAAATTCTGTAGTTATGACATTCATATCTGCTCCTAAAACTAAGTCAGAACAGGGCACCTGGATGGCTCAGTTGGTTAAGCATCTGCCTTCAGCTCGGGTCATGATCCCAGGGTCCTGGGATTGAGCCCCGCAGCAGGCTGTCTGCTCAGCAGGGAGCCTGCTTCTCCCTCTCTCACTCCTGCTGCTTGTGCTCACTTGCTGAGAAATAAATAGATAAAATCTTAAAAGAAAAATAAACTAAGTCATGAAGGACATCCAGTTAGAAGTTTACATCCTGCAACTCCTTGTACTGGGAGGTAACAAATCCATACTTTAGTTAAAATGCTTTGTATTCCACAGTTTTTATTAACTTATTTCTACCAAGATTATCACATGCAGAGTTTGTTATTAATGCTTCTCTACTATGCTAAAATGTCTTTATCATTTGGGAAAATCAGTTTGTCCCATTCAAGAGAAAAAGACATAATATTTCCTTTTCAGATTTTTGTCCACACATTGTATTATAAAATGTGTGTATAGCAGGCGTGCCTGGGTGGCTCGTTCAGTTAAGCGTCCAACTCTTGATTTCAGCTCAGGTCATGATCTCAGGGTCATGAGATCAAGCCCCGCATCAGGCTCTGCACTCAGCGGGGAGTCTGCTTAAGATTCTCTCTCTCCCTCTGCCCCCTGCCCCCGTGCACACATGCATTCTCTCTCCCTCTCTCTCTAAAACAAATAAATCTTTAAAATAAAATAAAGTTGTGTGTGTGTGTAATCTGTTAATAATGGGAAATTTTTTTGTAAGATTGCACCGTTTTCCCTGTTTGAATACAAATTACTTTTGGTACAACCTCAAAAGTTGTTCATTGGTAGAAAAACAGTTCTTGCCAGTTTGCCTCTAGGAATAATTTCTCTTGTAATATGATTTATTTGGCACCAAATGGTCTCAGGAGTAGCACTGTGCTCAGATTTTGATCAAAGAGGCAAACTGGAATTTCTGGGCACTCTTCTGATTTCCCATGTGATGCAGTGACAGTGTCATTAAAATATCCCTTTTACCTTTTAAAATTAAACTTTTTTTTTTTTTAAATTCAAGGGGACTTATCAACAAAGAAAATATTCCTTCTGGGTTCAACAACCTTGAAGATTGTATTTTGAATGCTCAGGAAGTGGAAAAATTGTATGAAAATACTTCTGGTTATATTGGAGAAAGGGGCAAACCTAAACGTCAGAAATCCAGTTCCAAACTTTCTGAACTCAGTGAAAATCAAGATGGTCTTGTGGTAAGTGAAAATTCTATAAAACTTTTACTTGTAACCAATTAGGAAATATCACATCTCTTTTCCTTGCTTTGTAAAAAAAATAATAATTTCAATCATGAGCTTCATAGGACTATAGGATATGAGTTCTGAAGGCCTCAGAGCTACCAAGTGTACACACTTGTATTTCTTTTTAATAAATATAAAAATCAAAGCTGAGAAAGATTATATTCTGCCAAAAGAAACAGAGACAGCACACTTTGATTTCCATGTTATTCAAATGATTTTTATCTCATTCTTTTGAGTATTTTTAAATTGTATTTTTGGAATATTGTCATTAAAGCATTTTTTATTTCCCCCCATTCTGTTCATTCTCATATATATGATGTAAAAAAAAAAATTAATGAACTTAAAGCCAGGTGAAAGAAAACTACATAGGGAAAGAGGATCAACTATCTTTGTGTACAGAAATCTCTGTGTTCAGAAATTTAGTTCAAATCTATACTCTATAAAGTATTTTCTTCCAAATTAATCAGAAATAAAAACAAAAAAGATCAGCCTCTTAACAGAGTTACCTCAGACCTGTACCCTGGATCATTGATTTGATATATAAATTATTACAAGTGGTTTCTGTCAATAACTAAATATTTATTCAGTTTAACTATTAGTATACATCCTCCTCTTCTGTGTATGCTTCACTTTCTCTTAGAAGTGAGAACCAAAGCCTGTCTGCTTAGTCCCTTTAGTTTTAAAAAATTTAACAACAACAAAAAACAAAGATAAAATATATAACATAACATGAGCTGGAGTCACCATAATGAAAAAATGTAATGCCCATTCTTACTGTTCAATGTGTAAATGCTCCGATCTATTCAATCTCTGACAAGCTTTTACCTCCATGTTGGGTTTTCTCTACATTTAGTAAACTTACAGGCCATCTGTTTTCCATTGTCAATTTTGGCATGTGCTCAGAGAAGATTCCCAGTTTGGCCCTAAATAAAATATATGTAAATGCAAATCCAGGGAAACATGTTAATTTCTTTTTTTCCCTCCAAATGTCTTTTTTTTTTTAAGATATTTATCTATTTATTTATTTATTTATTTGAGAGAGCGGAGCGGCAGGCAGAGGGAGAGGGAGAAGCAGACTCCCTGCTGAGCAGAGAGCCCATCGCAGTGCTAGATCCCAGAACCCTGAGATCATGACCTGAGCCGAAGGCAGACGTTTAACCAACTGAGCCACCCAGATGCCCCTTTCCCTCCAAATGTCTTGATAATCTGTTTCAAGAAGTAAAGTAACCAGCTAGAAGGGACAGAAGCAATCACCCACCGCAGGCCCATGTCTTATACACTCCAAATAAAGAATGTAAGCTTTGGAACCATTGCACACATTAAATGTTTTTAACATTAACTTAATTCTTATTTGGAGGAAAGTAAATTTTTAAATAAAATAAATGGTGCTACCCCAATGTTCATAGCAGCAATGTCCGCAATAGCCAAACTGTGGAAAGAGCCGAGATGCCCTTCAACAGATGAATGGATAAAGAAGATGTGGTCCATATATACAATGGAATATTACTCAGCCATCAGGAAGGATGAATACCCAACTTTTACATCAACATGGATGGGACTGGAGGAGATTATACTAAGTGAAATAAGTCAAGCAGAGAAAGTCAATTATCATATGGTTTCACTTATTTGTGGAACATAAGGAATAGCATGGAGGACACTAGGAAAAGAAGGGAAAAATGAGGGGAGCGGAATTGGAGGGAGAGATGAACCATGAGAGACTGTGGACTCTGAGAAACAAACAGGGTTTTAGAGGGGAGAGGGGAGGGGGGATTGGTTAGTCCGGTGATGGGTATTAAGGAGGGCACATACTGCATGGAGCACTGGGTGTTACACAAAAACAAGGGATCGTGGATCACCACATCAAAAACTAATGATGTATGGTGACTAACATAATAAAATTTAAAAAAAAATAAAATAAATGGTGCTAATTTCATTAGCCCTTTATTTGGCTCACAATTTGCTTATCTGCCAAAGAGATTTACAGTGACTAAAATTCCAACAGTTGACTTCTTTGGAAAGATGTGCTTCTCTATCTCAATCCCTTTTTATATGAATTTAGCCCATTAATTTTTTTTTCCCACCAGGAATGGTGTCTTAAATTAGCTAGGTGGTAATAACTAATAAAAGTGAAAAAGTACATTTATTCCTTAGAATATGTGTTTGACTGATAAAACTATAGACATATTCTTTGTTTAAAAATGTTTGGGGGCGCTTGGGTGGCTCAGTCGGTTAAGCGACTGCCTTCAGCTCAGGTCGTGATCCTGGAGTCCCGGGATCGAGTCCCACATCGGGCTCCCTGCTCGGCAGGGAGTCTGCTTCTCCCTCTGACCCTCTTCCCTCTCGTGCTCTCTATCTCTCATTCTGTCTCTCAAATAAATAAATAAAATCTTTAAAAAAAATAAAAAAAATAAAAATGTTTGGATGGGAGAGCATAATGCTATCTGGTCTTTTTTATGTGAAAGGATTTGCCCCCACCTTAGTTGTCAGTTACCTCATTCCAGGATTGTGAATGTCACCTATTAACATAAGTGAGCCAAGTGGACCATGTCTTTGTTGCAGTGAATAATTTAAAAAACCTGCCAGCACAACTCAGAAGAAGAACTTCCTGATCTAAAGTGAGGGTGTTCTCTAAGAGCTTTTCTAACTGTCATATTCTATAAATTTTTAAATCTAATCTTCACAGGTAACCACAGAGCAAAGAGCCAGGGAACATAGCAAGTATTTAGACTACATCTAAGTTGTGTATCTTAACTTGTCCCTTATGTTTAACCTCCTAATTTTACTTTTCCCAACTCTCCCCCAACACCTTTTCCTACTCCATTTCAAGTTCTTTACACCCTGACTAAACATTTATTTCTATAGCTGGGTCAGCAAGGGAGGAGGGGGAATTATATGTAATTATATGCCTTTATGTGCCAGGAAATATTTCAGATCCTGGAGATAAAGCAGTGAGAAGAACAGGCAAAGGTAGCTGTCCTCCTGGAGCTTACATCCTAGTAGGGGAAACAAACAATAATCAAGATAAGTAAGTAAAACACAAAATATATTGGATAGTGATAACTACTAGGAAGAAACATAAAGCAGGAAATAGGAATTGTGAGGGGGCAGGTGATGCAATTTTAAATAGAGTGGTCTGGGAAGACCTTCCAAGAATTTGACATTTGCGTGTAAAGATTTAGAAAAAGTAAGGAAGCAGGCTACACTATTATAGTAGGTGCAAAGGCCCTGAGACAGTCATTTATCTAGAAGATTCAAGAAACCACAAAGACCACATTGTGATTGGAAGAGAGTGAGCAAAATTAAAGAGGTAATGGGAGAGGGTGGGCAGATGAAGTACGACCTCATAGATCATTGTGAGGACTCTGCCTTCATTCTGGGTGAGATGAGAATCCATTTGAGGGTTCTAGGTAGAACAGTGATCTGGCTTACTGAAATTTGTTCAGCTACTATGTTGAGAATAGACAGCAAGCACGCAGGGGCAGAAACAGGGAACCCAGTTAAAAAGCTATTGCAATAATCTAGATTTGAGATGATGATGGTTTGAACTAAGGTCATACCAGAGCCAGCATATATTTCCCTGCAGGCTATACAATGCACTACTCTAGGGGGCACTGTTCACATGACTAAACTCCTTCCGGAGTGGTACCTTGCAGTAATCATGACACAGTGAGCAGATTCTGCATGTGTTTTGAAAGTAGAATTGACAGGATTTCCTGACATTACCTGTGTGGTGTGAAAGTAAGGAGTCAAAGATGACTCCAAGGTTTTTGGTCTAGCAACTAGATTTGTGTTGCCAGTTTAGCTGAGATAGAGAAGACAGACAGAAGTTTGGGTTCAGTTTTGGACATAAGATTAAGCTGCCCATTAGATATCTTAGAGGGCATATCAAGGAAGCAAGTGGATTTCTGGGCCAAGAGTTTAGGGAGGAAATCCTGGCTGCAGGTACAGTGTGGGAGTCATCAGCAGACAGAGGATATTTAAAGCCAGTATACTGGGTGAGATGACCAAGGGAGTGAGTGTGGTCAGGAAGGAAAAGTTGCCTCAGGGACGGTGGGCCCTGAGACACACCAACATTTAGAGGATGGGGAAATGAGAAGGTACCAGGGGAGGAGACTTATGAGACTAGCAAAGTAGAAGACAGACAAAGTGAATTTAGTGCCTTGGCAGCCAAGTGAACAGAGTGTCTCAAGGAGGAGAAAAGGTCAGATGATGGGTTAAGCAGAAGAGTGAGAGTTTGACCGTTGGGATTAGCAAGTTGGATATCACTTAGTAAAGCAGTTTGGGTGAAGAGATGGGAACAAAAGCCATTTTCCAGAGAAAGTGAGAGGCGAGTAACTGAACACAGTGACTAATAATTTCATACTGATCATCCCAGCCCACAATACAACTGAGGAGAATATGCTGTAGACCAAAAAAAGCATCTTGCAGATTTGGAATCTCTAAAGCAGGAACTGTCTGGGCATGTTCCCCTTTGTGCTTTCACCTCTCGAGACTGTCATGACCAGCAGAGACCAAGAAACTAGATAATTCGGAGTTTAAAAATTAGGGTTAGGAAGTGACATTAGAGTGTTCTGCCTTATCCCTACTTATTGCCACAGTCCCAAACTTGTCTTCCCTCTTTAAACTCTTGGCTCATGCTTGTGCCCATCAGTCATTCTCAGAGGAAAACCTTGTCTTCTGATTTACTTTGAAGAAGTAAGATACGCAGCTTGTTTCAGCAAATTCCCTCACTCCTGCTTCAAAACGTCTCTAGAACTCTACTCATTTTCTTTGCTCACCTGCTCAAATGATAACATGATTTTTCTAATTTCTAAGGTTAACCTCTAAAATCCAGAAGTATCTTTGTAAATTCTACCTTCTACATCCATCTCCCCACCCCACACCCATGTACGTGTACAAACATATACATACACTTACACACTTTTCCTTTTCATTGGCTTCCTCTTCATTGGCTC